AAAAAGCCCATTACCATGTAATTGGGCCGTTTAGTAGTAGGTCCCTCCGAAAATTCATAACAAAATTGCACCCATGCATTAGGGGTGTTCACGGTCTGGATTAGTCCGGTTTTAGCCCAAACCATGACCAAACCGGACCTAACGGTTAATTTTTTTTCTTGTCCATAACCGGACCGGTTTTATTTTTTAACCGACCACAATCCGGACCGCATTGCACGGTCTGGTTTGGCGATTAACCGGTTAAATCTAAAATCCTTGTTTTGGGCATTCAATTTTTATTTTTTTCATTTTGTGCTTAATTTTTATTTTTCAATTTTGGGCCCAAAAGAGATTATTTGGGCCTAAAAATTAAGAAAAACAACAATAATGAAATAAAAAATACACAATTCGTCTCATAAGCATAAAAATACACATTTCGTCCCATAAACACAAAAATACAAAGATCATGAAGATTAAATTATGCAAACTGAACCCAAGCAAGCATTCATTTTTCAGTCAGTTTATACACTTTAAATAATAAGAGCAAAGCATTCATAGTGAATGTATTGTATTAGTCGACCATAGTGAATGACTGAATGTATATATATATCTGTTATAGTTTTTTAATATTTATCAGTCCGGTCCGGTTAACCTAGCGGTTTGCCGCAGGTAATCCGTTAACCGGACCAGTTATTCCGGATTTTTAGAAAAATTAACCACTGAATTTTTTAAGGCTTTTTAACTAACCATTTAACCGATCCGCGGTCCGAATTGACGGTTTTTTTCGGTTAAAACCGGACCGTGAACACCCCTACCATGCATCACGATTCCAGAACTAACATAATTGATTATAATAAAATATCGAAAAACAATTCCCAAAACTATCATAATTGATTCTAATAAAATATCAAATGAAAAATAATAAGATATAATAATATGTAACTGCAAATTAAATTTTAAAAACAATGAAAAGAATTTAACCAAATAATTACCATTCGAAATAAATCTTCTCATTTTCTTATTTTTCCTAGTAAAAACCTATTTGTATCTGTAAAGTTTCACGCCATTAAGTTTTATAGCTATAAGTCCCAGAACTTTTCGTTTATCAAGTGGATCCAACTCAACTTGTATTCTGCCTTTTCATTTGACCCAATCATCTATCATGACATGCAGCTACGAATTTTGGCTTAAAATCTTCACTTTCATTATCAATTTGTTGTGATCCTATATAGGCCAATTTATCATCAAATATTTACTTAATCTGAGTTCCATATTTTTTTCATTACCATGTAATTAAAATAAATTTCAACATTTTATTTACTTTTCTCAGTTCTTCTTGATTGTCATTTACCTTTTCTTGTGTGTCACTTTTGTACATTTTATTTAGTTTAGAATCTTTATTTATTATTTCTTTCGAGGTTTATTTATTCTTAGAATTGGCTGGTCTCTATTATTTCAAGTGTGTTTTATACTTATGTGATGTATATCGTTTAGCATTTCTTTTGAAATCTCAATCCGAGCAGGAGTATTTTCAGCATTTATATATGATTTGGTCACTCTTTTCGTGCCAATATATACATATGATAATTGATTTGCTATATTATTCACATGTAAGCTCTTTTTAACTTCTTGTTCAAGTTGTTTTGTAGGAGGCTCAAAATGACAACGATGTAGTGGCGAATAAAGGGCCGATCCCTCAAGGAGTGTAAACTAAATTGTGAACTTTTCGTATTAACTGAAATTATGAAAGCAATAAAAGAGAGGGGAGGAGGAGGGGGTTAGATTTAATAACTAAGATCCTCATTACATAAATAAAATCTAAACAAATAAAAAATAAAATCTAAACAAATAAAATAAAAAATAAAATTAAATAAATTAAGACAAATTTCTAGTTCACGGTTCCGTCTACGCACTTGCTTGACTAGTCTAACTAATTGTGATGTCAAGATTCACTATAACGCTAGATAGCAACACGCTCTGCTACCCAAATTTTTATTTACTGTTTATTTAACCGAAAGACGCTCTTCGATTAAATTTGACTTCTTGGACAGTCTAGAACACTTTCTCTAGATTTAATGCAATAATCGATTTAGAATCTAAAAAAATAGACTTGTCTAAATAGTAAACACAACAGCGCGGTTCACTTAATTAGGCCGTGTTATCCCCGACAGTTACTGTTTTTCGGTTGCTACTTATGAATTAAACTCAACAACAATTACGGATGGTAAGTTCAATTCTAACATTAGACATGAAAAATCTTATCTGGTAATCAATCATAATAAAATCAAACATATCATGGTTGATCAATCAAAATATCACAAACAATTTTATAGAAATAGCAAAATAATTAATCACCGTAATTGGTTAAACACAACCAAGTACGTACAATTCGACATACCCGGAACTAGAAATAAAATCTACTTTAACATAATAAATAAAAAAAAAGAGAAAAATATAATTTCTTCTTGTGCGCGGGTGCGACCTCCTTCCGCGATTGATCGGCTTATCGCGTATCTGTCCGCTTTTCTATTTTTTTCTTATTGCGTTCTCTCTCGCAATTAATTCACTCTCACCAGTTTCCACCTCTTTGTCCAAGTCTCTTCCCTTGTTTTATGAGTGGCTGCATATGTATTTTCCTAATGGTTGTAGGATTCTTGCCAAGGTCTTCTTGAAATTGGGCTCATTCATTTTGGGCCCACAAATCCTCTCATATCACAAAACTCTCATTATTTTATTTTCGCCTTCAAAATATATCATTAGAGCCTGAATTTGGGCTAAATTTTCGTATATGATACAAGCCAAAAATTGGGCTAGTATGGGGTATCTCTATATTACCCCTGGTAAAATTTTGTTTGGTGCCACGTCGCCCATAAAAAATACTCAATATCCTATAAATAAAATATAAAAATGCCATAGATCTCAAATCTGTATATTAAATAAATAAGTCGAAAACATATAAGTTCGATAATATTAAGCATATAAAAATACGCTAATAAATATATAAATTACATACTTTTTTCGACCAATCATTTCACCTAATCCAGAGATATATGATTATTCTATCAATTTAAGCAATGAAAATATTAATGGCGGTTTATCATCGCAACGGTCAGAAGGCATTGAAAAATCAAAACTGAAGAGGAAAAAAATGAGAAGATGTGACTGTTATTGTGAAGACAATGGAGAATTTTTTTTTAAAAGAATAAAAATTAATAATTAACTAAGGATAACAATACCGAAATTAGAAGGCAAAAACTTAGAATTTAAAAGTAAAACAATGAATTGCGAAGACAGATAGTCAAGACCACCATATGGATAGGGAAAAAAAACAAAATTATAATGATTGATTTGTATCCCACATAACTTAATCGTCGACCTGAATATTTTCAAAATGAAGAAGAAAGAATTTTACTAAAAAAGAAAAGGATAATCTTCATAGACACTATAAGCTAACTCTTTGATGCTCATTGCAAGTATTTTCAACATCTTGGCGGGGTTTAGATGGTTATAGAGATTATTAGAATTGTTATTCGAAATTGATTAGCTTTGGTACTTCCGCACGAACTGTTTGATCAAGCATCCGGTAGAGTTATAGGACAGGAAGTGATGTTTCCAGTGGTGAACAGGTGAGTAACGCGTAAGAACCTGTCCTTGAGAGGAGAACAACAACTGGAAACGGATGCTAAACCCCTTAGGCTGAGGAGGAAAATGAGGAATCTGTCCGAAGAGGGGCTTGCGTCTGATTAGCTAGTTGGTGAGGCAACATACGTTGTACTATGATATTAAAAAAAAATTATAAATTGATGTAGCGTCTCTCTTCTGGCAAGGTATTGGAGAAGAAAATTGTCACTACTCCACCGTAGAGTTAGGAACGCTTTATTGAATAAGGAAATTGCCACTACTCCAACGTGGAGAAAGGATACAACACTACACTAGAGATGGAGATGGAAATGTAAATGAAGGCGGGGGAATTGCCATTTCACACTTCTCCAAAATGCTTTTAAAGGATAGCATCTCCAAAACAAGCGCCATATTATATAATCTGAATAGGGTCATCATAGAGATTTTAATCTTTTTTTTTCCTTTCAGAAAAAACATGACAGGATGAGAGCTAGAATTACATGTAAAGCTAATTAATCCTACAAAAATCAATTTCCCACCAAATCCTGAAAAATGGTAAGTTACAATCCACCGGCCCTAGATTTCGGAGATTATTCCAGTCACAATACCTAAGGCAATGGTTCTTCCTGATGATCTAAGGAACACTCTTCCCAGACTTCTACATCTGCTGTACTCTTCCACACAAACTGGGCCTTCCAGAACAACCTGAGAGGTGATGTGAATAAAAACAATAATCAATAAACAAAATATAAATACTCGAGAGAAAAGAACACCACAAAGTGTGAGACCCTTATACTGACCTCAATAATTGCATTCTGCTTGGCCAATAAACATCTCGGGGACTTTTTTGTCATTTTTCCTGTCTTCGGATCAAGCAGAGACGACATTTTAACGACCCTCGCAGCCTCCTTTGCGTGGTGTATGTGAAATTCAAACTGCAGATGAATCACCAGATAGAAGAAGTTGGTTATGCTTGAAAAAGGCTATGCATGTATAACTGTAAAAACTCCTTTAGTTGTTTGTTGTTACCTGAGAACCAATCACTATTGGGGTTGAGATCGCCTCCAGGACAAGGATTTTCAGTTCCAAGCGGTTTGCAACTTGAACCGGGTAATTGGGGTGGCATATCACGCCGCCAGCTGTCACACGATTGGCCTCAATACCTTGCAGATTTACTGTCACATTGTCACCGGCTCTTGCCACGTCACAAGGCTGAGAATCCCGTTCCAAAGAACGGGCCGTAGCTATTTCTCTTGAAGGCATAACCAATA